CCTCCACGCTGGCCGTCATCCTCGTCTTCACCATCGTGGTGGACATCCTGGGCAACCTCCTGGTCATCCTGTCCGTGTATCGGAACAAGAAGCTGAGGAACGCAGGTAGGGGCTCCCGGGGCCGGGCAGCCCCCAGCTTTCCTCCTCGACGGCAGCCTCTCACCTCTCTGGCCACCTGCCCCGCACGCAGCACCCTCAGCTGGCAGCTGGCTTTTCCTAAGGAAAGTTAAATTCTTTTTTCTTAAAAACTGGGGACTTGGACTCATTTTTTTCCATTAGAGACTGAAGCCCGTTTGGTTTACTTCCCTTTAACCTGCCTGTCAAGTATGTTTTGTGTGTGTGTGTGTGTGTGTGTGTGTGTGTGTGTGTGTGTGTTTCTCCCTTAAAACAGTAAGAAGTCTTCAGCCCCTGCGGGGGTAGCAATCCTGGGCAGAGTCAGGTTCTCTTTATTTTAGAGAAAAACCCCACTGTCTAGTTTTCAATTTCTGAGGTTTATGAAATCGAGCGGCACTCCTTAAAGGTTGCAGGAAGTCCCTCAAAAAGTCCTTTCAAATGCCACCAACCAGCTACCAATTGCTTGGTTTTCCGTAGACTTTAATGTTCCCAACTTTGTTAAAATAGGAGGAAAATACGTTGGCAAAATGATCGTGCAATTATTTTAGTTTTGTTGTCAGGAGTAGTTTTCAGTTTTTAGCATGCAATTGCAAAAAAAAACCCCAAAAAACAAAAACAAGCAACAACAAAAGCTCCTAACCGAGCTTGGCGTGATTCCTCCAAGTTTAATACTTTTACACGTTAAAAGCAGGAGTTGTTGTGATAGACAGTGTATGTACCGGTAATGCGCTACGAAGGCTAATTCTGTGCTTGAGTTACACTTGCTTTTCCCTCCAGGCAAGGGGTTGAAATTGGCTTCTCGTGGGCGGGAGCCTGAGGACGCACCAGAGGACCCTGGGTGGTCAGACCTCTGCTGGATGATGAGATGCAAACCTTGTGGAGGAGCGGATGGGGAGGGAAGGAACCTCGCACTTACATGTTCGTCAAACAGGAATATTTTTGTTCTAACCAGGTAGTTGATCAATGCTGTAAATTTGTTTAACTCCTTTCTGGGAGGGGCTCCCCCCTCCTATTTTTCCTACGTTGCTTGAGACAATACATAATTTAAGAATCCTATATAATAAAAGGCTAATAATCAAATTGGAGGGAGTTTGACCAGGGGGAGGGACTGGCTGGCCATCCACCCTTGGCCCCTCTAAAAGGCTTTTGCATAGCTAAAGAAACAACCAATCAAATTTAAAGAATAGAAGAAAATATTTGTGGGTCATATAATATAAGGGGCTTATATACAAAATATATAAAGAACTCATACAACTCAATAGCCAAACAAAACAAACAAAAAACATCCCCCCCCCCCAAAAAAAACACAATATAATTTAAAAATGGGCAGAGGGTCTGAATAGACATTTTTCCAAAGAAGTCATAAAGATGGCCAACAGGTGCATGAAAAAATCCTCAACGTCAAAACCACAATAAAACATCCCCTCACACCTGTTAGGAATGGCTATTATCAAAAAGACACAAAATGAGAAGTGTTGGCGAGGATGTGGAGAAAAGGGTACACTGTGCCCTATTGGTAAGAATATAGATTGGTTCAGCTCATATGGAAAGCAGTGTGGAAGTTCCTTAGGAAACGAAAAATAGAACTACCCCACCACTCAGCAATTCCACTTCTGGATAGTTATCCGAAGAAAATGAAAACACTAACTTGAAAAGATAGCTATACCCCCATGTTTATTACATTTTTACAATAGCTGAGACACAAAAACAAACTAAGTGTTCATTGATGGAGGAACAGATAAAGATATTGTGGGATATATACATTGGAATATCACTCAGGCATTAAAAGGATGAAATCTTGTCATTTAGGGCAACATGGGTGGACCTCAAGGGCATTATGCTAAGAGAAAGGTGATCTCTATTATCACCATATATGATCTCTATTATATATGTGGAATCTATAAATAGATACAAGCTCATTGATACAGAGAATAGATTCATGGTTGCCAGAGGTGGGGGTTGGGTGAATTGGTTTTTTTGTTTGTTTGTTTTAGTTTAAATAAATTGATTTAAAGGAGAAGAAGAAAGGGTATGAGAACACCCAGTGCTGTGAGGGTGGTATGAGAATGATCTCTCACCCCAGGAGCAGAGGGTGGGAGAGCCTGCTTTCTCTCCAAGCGAGGTCCTGCCGGTCTCCTCTGCCCGCTGTAGCTCTGGGTCCTGGGAGAGCTCCCTCTGATTATATATTAATCTGCTTATTGCTCTCCTTGTTGCTTTATTGATTGTTTTGATTCCTTGGATTAGGGTTCAATAAGAGGACTTTGTCTTTAACCTGTCCAGTGCATTCCTTTGGAGAGAGAGAGAGAGAGAGACTGGAAGGAAGGAAGAAAGGAGGGGAGCCATGCTAACGGAATCCTCAGGACAGCCTGTGGTGGGTGCCACTGTCACTTTTAAGAGAAGGAACGGGACACAGAGTGGGGGGCCAGGGTTTGATTCACAGAACCCTGTGGGTTTGGCCCCCAAGCTCCCTCTAGTCTAGTTTGTTGTATCAACAATTGCAGCATTTGGGGAGTTTGTATCCTATAGATCCTTTTGTTTAAAAAGAAATTCACATTCCTGGAACAATTTTCCTTCTTCTGGTTTATGGAAAAGAACTATTAAAAAGTGCTGCTTCCCCACTGCTTTGTATTTTATTTGTTTGCTAAGCATTTTTTTTTTTAAATCCTCATCCGAGGACATATTCATTGATTTTAGAGAGAAAGGAAGGAAGAGAGAGAGAGAGACAGAGAAACATTGACCAGTCGCCTCCCGTACACACCCCGACTGGGGATTGAACTCAAAGCCTAGGTGTGTGCCCCGACCAGGATCTGAACCCACAACCTTTTGGTGTACAGCATGGGGTTCCAACCAACTGTGCCACCTAACCAGGGCACTAAGCAATTACTTTTATCCTCACCCGAGGACATGTTTATTGATTTGAGAGAAAGAGAGAATGAGAGAGAGAGAGAGAGAGAGACATCAATGTGAGAGAAAAACATTAGTTGGTCACCTCCTGTACATGCCCTGACTGAGGATTGTGTGTGTCCTGGCCTGGAATAGAACCCTAAACCTTTTGGTGTAGGAGCCGGTGGATGCTCCAATTGAGTGACCCGGCCAGAGCTGCTGGCACTTTTATGATAGAGCAGTTTATACAACACTACAGCCCTGTAGCTAGTGGATGACCCACAGGGAGCCTTAGCCTGTGAAGCGTTGGGCCTTTGCGACTTTTACAATTGGGATTTTGTATTCAGGTGTTCCACTGTTGCAATTCAAAGCACTGGGGGCTTGGACGGATGGTAGTTTTAAACGGTGACAGAGATAGGCAGGATTCAATACTGCTGTTCAGTCCCTCCATTTCTATCAAATTTATCTTATTAAGGATGAAAAGATGGAAAAGAGAATGGAAGAAATGAGGTAAGAATATAAGAATGTGGCTCTAGCGGTTTGGCTAGTGGATAGAGCGTCAACCAGTGGACTGAAGGGTCCCGGGTTAGATTCAGGTCAAGGGCACATGCCTGAGTTGTGGGCTCAATCCCCAGTAGGAAGGCATGCAAGAGGCAGCTGATCAATGATTCTCTCTCATCATTGATGTTTCTATCTCTCTCTCCTTCTCCCTTCCTGTCTGAAATCAATAAAAACATATTAAAAAAAAAAAGAATGTGAAGACATCTTAAACTTTGAACTAGGATTTCCTTTTGGGAATCTGGTATAATTGCTGATTATGTATGCCCCTGTCCTTCCCTTAAAGGAACCCGTTGAAATTTGATTTTCCAGGGAAGAAATTTAAAATATTTAACAGGCGAATGTATGTCAGGGACACTGGTTAGAACAGATGCAGGCTCCACACAACCACCAGAGCCTTCGGTGCTGGCAGAAGTCTGTTCTCCTGTCCGAAATTTGATCCTCGCATGGATACTAGCCTATTTGTAACTTCTGAGTAATTTCCATAGAATAATGGGAGGATTCCTGCCCTGGAAGACTGGGTGTAATGTCCTTGCTATCCACCCTGGCACCTGGGAAAGCCTCACTTTCTACATTTGTCAAGTACAGCAAGGAGCTAACTAATCTTTTCGCCTCCCACAATTGTTGCAGTTACCTAGTGATGCAGGGGCTGCAGATGGGAAAGGGCGCTTTGATAGTTTGCACGTGGAAATTGATGCTTGGAGATTGATTCTTTGACCAGGATAAAGCAGGTACACCTAACAAGGGTGGCTTCCATTGTTTAAAGTAATTGAGCTGTAGACATGAATTGCGCACTTTTCTATATTACGTCCTACTTTAGTACTTTTACTGAAAACAAAGCAGGAGTACAATAATAACTTGCCTATTCAAAATTCAATTACCTGGCAACCAAACTTACTAGTATCTAAAATATGGCCAATAAATGGAAATAAGTAAAAAATAGCAGGCTCTCATCCAGTTGATTTGTTCTGCCTTAGGGTTCCATGAAATGGTGCAGCTAGTTCCTTCATAGATTGTAGTCAATTAGGAGGAAGATTGGTGCATTTTAAAGAAATAGCTCATGTGCCAAACAGCATAGATTGAAATAGACTCATTAAAACAGGTCTGGAAAACTGAACAAGCACAACCTTTTGTGGGCACATCATGAAGAAGAAGAGAAAAGAAAAGATAAGAAGAGAAGAGAAGAGAAGAGAAGAGAAGAGAAGAGAAGAGAAGAGAAGAGAAACAACAAAAAACACCTGCTCACCATTAACTTCCTGAAAAAGGGACAGTAGTGCAATAATGTGTTTATTACATATGACCGTCAGCCATTAATACACGGACAGTGTGTTCTGCCTCAGAAGACAGGGGCATTCTATTTTAGAAAGTTATCTTTTTAAGCAGTTTGTTATTATTTTTTTAATTTGGTGCACAGCGGGCTAAACTGTCAATATTGTAAAAAAAAAAAAAAAGGTTCCCCAGAATGACTATAAGACAGTACCCTGGACACTAAGTTATGCTGTTCTTGCACTGGTTTCTTTCAGGTCTACACTAAATGTTATCCATATCCC